ACCGACGTATACCACGTTGGCCGGCATCGCCCAGTCCTTTGAAGATGGCCAGGCCACCAAGTGTAAGGTCAGTCTTTTCTGGCGACAGCTGTGTGGCTCTATCTACCACTGCTGCTCGGTAGGGCTGACTACCGTGAGCACTAGTGAATAGGAGCAGTACAGAACCGGTTCAGAGTGCGGGGAAGAGTCAGCTGGTGGGACCAGACAGAGGGTACCGGGTAGATCCAGCGAGCCAAGTGAAGCGCACACACGCAGAGGATGCGGGCTCGCTCAATTGAGAACTGGAGACGAAGCGACTAATGCGGGCCTGCGACCGGGGTCTGCGCCAATAGCAGAGTCCAGATACTGGTTATTTAAAAAAGGTAAGGAAAGGTGCCAATGAAAAGCTCCTTCAAAGTCCAAAACCAAAGTTACGGCATACCTTCCATCATTGAGTGTATGTATTTGAACATAAGCTGTTTGAATTCATTACGAACATAGAAGGCATATAATCTGTCCGTCTTATACCTGTTTGAAAGACAAATAAAAGACTCAACATCGGGAGCAAGTGCCATGGTCGTCAATCTGCATTCTGCAATGTGCTAAAAGGTCCCCTATTCCCTCTACCTCAGTTGAGCTGAAGGTGATATCGCTTTGATATTTTCCTTTCCAAGCCGTGCTAAAGGTCCCCGACTCCCAGTCTGTCCCGAGCCCTATCTACCCAATCAGGCAAACTCCTCTACAAGGCATTTCAAAACGATCCCAAGCTCCTTCCGCCCGTCGTGTCCCACGCCAGACGAGTCCGTTCGGCCGTCTCCTGTTCCCGACGCAGCCGACTGACACGAGGGTCGACCGGACAACGGCACGGGGGCGGAGCTCGTCACAGAAAGTTGGCTCGTTATTGAGCGTGCGCCTCTTTCAGGCGAGAGGGGCGCGCTCTGAGCCGACTGACGAGCCAAGTCGCCACTCGCAGCCGATGAGGCGGCAGAGTCGCGACGCAATCGACAACGGAGATGTGCCGCTTCGAGTGGGAACGGCCTGGCAGCTGCGGCGTAATATAGGGTGCAGAGGGGAGCAGCGAGAGAGGTGATGGGTTGGGAGCTACAGGTGGGGCTGGGCATAGCCAGGAAATGCAAAAGTCTGGGATGACACAGTGACCATAGTTTCTAAATTACTTGCTTTGTTTCGTCAAAGCAAACGAAAACACAGAGTCTGCACTTCCGTCTTGCAGCGATCTGTCCAAAATAATATATTACGCTCTGAATTTCCGCCCACATCAGTCGGGAGATATTTTCATGTCTGGTCTTTACCCTTTCCTCCTCCACCGCCGTCGTTACAGGGCGCTGTGTAGTGTGTATGTATAGCTCCGTTTCCATGTCCGCCTCCCGTTGTGGCCGTGAGGGTGTCAGCCACTCTGACCTGGCCACCGCGGGAGCAACTCGGAGTAGGCGGGGAGCGCGTGGGAGGTGGCCGGACGGCCTAGCCTGATTAGCTGGTCGCCGGTGCCGACTGCAGGACCCTCGAGACGGCCGGGAAGAGCCTCTCCCGGGGCGGCTGATCACGGACGCCGGTCGACCCGTCACCAGACGAGTGCCGTTCATTCAGCGACCGGAGACCGCAGGTCGTCCGACAGACCCGGTGTCATTGTGGTCACACGCATCGTGTGGACGGGGTAATGGAATTTAATGTAGAAAATACCTTATCAAAAACCAAATAACCTAAATAACAAATATCTTAAATATCTTATTGAGCGTTTTGATAAACCGCAGCTATGATGTTAAAAATTTGAAGTTCAGACGGACAAGCAATTCGTGGAGAATATTGGCAATGCGGTGTTACGGAGAAACTACTAAGCATGTTTGGTTTCTTCGAAATCAGAAAGATAACGCTTATTGGTTAGGAAACCAAGCAAACCATGACTAGAATGCTTTATTCCGATCGTATGCTCTTGGACAGCTTTGTAACAGAATAAGGCGCGCGTCGCCCAATGTCAATGGTCTAACACTTTTCGATGGATATTCAACTCGCATTCAGTGGACTCTACCATGGATGAGAAATGATAGCTCTACCAACACGCTCAAGAGCCGGTATCGAAATGTTTTCAATCAACAACACGCCTAACAGGCGTGACAGATAAGTATTTAATGTTTAATTGATGATTGGCATATCGTGCGCAATTCTTGTTTTTTTTTCAAATATCCATGCTGCATTCCTACAGCCACCGACTCTATAGCTTCGACGAAAGGTGCAAGTAAACAGTTAAGATCGTTAAATCTGTGCCATCTGAATCACCCTTCCCAGCCTTTTCGCTCGTGTGGATTAGCACCTGATGCCGTGCTTCATCAAATGAGCCGCACATTTAGACAGCTGGAGCGTCTGGGGAGCAGCCATTTCATCTTTCGGCCCGCGCCTGCGGCCCGCGAATCCAATCTGCAGCCCTGGACGGCGCCGAAGCCAGCCTTACGGTATCGGTCAAACACCAATCACGACGGAGAACAGAAGGTATTGAGACTCTTTACAAATTGGAGAACAACCTAGCGCAGCGGGAGGATCAGGATTCGAATAAGATTCGGAAGTCTAGTCCGGAGAGCATAGAACCGAAACTGGAACCATGCGGTGGCGCAAAGGTCGTTCCAGATTCCAAAGCTACTTTATTATTCAAAACCTTTTCATTCTTCCTACTGAGTGAATATGGAAGCCATTAATCGAATGGATCATGCAGAGTTGACAGCCCAAGGTGCGCACATCGTCACTTCCAGCTGTTAAACAATTATTACAGCGTTATCGGACGGTCTCTTTATCACCAACAGATCATTACATTGGGCTGCGATTTCTCGAAACGTAGCTGCTTCTGTAGGCACATCTAGCTCGCATCTAAAGTAATTAATTGTCTCCCACAGACACTTCCGAGCCTGCTGCCTATCGGTGCTTGGGTGCATTCCCGGTAACACTTTGACCAAACCTTTTCAGTGAAGTCATTCGAGACGTGTGGCATGAATAGCTGAAGAGGCGCACCGCTCATCCGAATGCATTTGATAGAACTATCAGTGGTGTCACGCGGCGGCAGTCGTACTGCTCACTATTGATCGTCGTTTGACCTTTGGCCCCGAGCGTCGACGCCGACGCCGAGTTCTGTATTAATGTCGTCTCAGGTACCGACGACCTTCCGACTTCAGTAGTATCGAACTCAAACCCGCAAACCCGACGTCGCTACCGGCAGCTCGTCTCTGTCCGACTCACGTCGGCTTCTACCGGGCTCATACCCGCGCTGCTGCAAATACGGGTGGTCGCGATGTTGTCAGTTGTCTGGTGATGAATATTGGTTGTGATGGAGCCTGCGCATAACATACTGGGTCTTATTGACAGATGGAAGGGATGAAGATATATGATGTTTAATAAAACATGGCAGTGTGTTTCTATGGTAAGGTGATGCATCATTAAATGTGATGACGTGAGAGACGAACCGAAGCGGCTAGCGGACACAACGCGGGCGGCTGCTTCTTTTCTATTTGTTATCAATTTACTGGCTGTGATTCAACGCTCAGCTGAGCGTAGCGTCTTTGGAGCTGACGAAAGCCATCCGACGATGCAGTGATAACGGTCGAATGGCTTGGTCCTCCGTGCATCTCACGGAAGTTGGAGTGGTAGCAGGGATTCTGACACCACAATTAACCAATGCGCAGTTGGGCTCAAAAGAAGCAGATCGAACGTCCATGAACTGATTGCGCACAGACTCACGATGAGGCGTGCGCAAATGACTGGCCATCTCTGACAGCAGCAGTTTTACCATCGGCTGGGCGGCTGGCTAACAGACAAGTCGATTTAATTAATGCAAGGACGCGCACTCGATGCTTAAAATTGTTCCGATTTATCATCCCAGAATTAAACTGTAGCCTGTGGGCTATCGATGTGAGATACCTATTTAAATAAGCATGATAAATTTCAGATCAATTGAGCATAATTGTTATTTCAGGCTGCTATCAACTGCTGCATTGACGTTTTATCTTTTCGCGAAGGCGCAGCTTCCTGTTTGACGTTAAGTGCCGCCTGCTGGGTAGCTAACGAAATCCACTGCAGCATGCTCACAAGACAAAATTAGAATTAGACAAACTAAAATGCGTTACGAAGATTAATTACTACGGAAGCATGCAGCTAATTACGCACTTTTAAGCAGTTAGAAGGTAGGGTTAAAGGGACCCTCCCACCTTAACACTAGATTTGAGTTGAGATAGCCAAAATGGGGTCCCTGGCTCACAATTACCGGTTTCGGCACTCACAACATCGAGAAATGCCTTAAATCGGAAATATTGAATTTCAAAATTGCAGCATTTTGATTCAGAGGGGCTAATGCTTAGGAATACCCCTCTGAATGTGTGACGTCAGCGCAGATATCTAACGATTTTTAAATGTTTGACTAAAACGTTTTGTAGCACGCGGTGGTATATGCTATTTGCGCGCAACATCTGCCGCAAACGCCGCACTTCTAAAATAAAGTCGCTAGAAACAGCGGAGATCCCAAAAAAGTAAACAAAAGTAAAAGTCTAATATCTTGAAAACCGGTGAATATTTTTCGGTGAAATTTGATAGATATTCGTTTTCGCTCTTTCTGAACCGAGCGACATCACTTTCATGCCAATTCATAAACTTTTTTGAAGGTGGGAGGGTCCCTTTAACTTGACAAATCAGTCGCATCCGGTACAGAAAAGTTTTGTTCAACATTCTAAAAAAAAAATAAATAAATAGAAACTGTTTGATGAACTACCAACACGGGTGGCTTACAACATCGTTGACAGGAAGGCACGCAGAAAATAAATATTGACAGACGCTCGAACACGCATGGGAAAAAATTAATCTAAGCCATCCACTTGCGACAGAGCTCGACTCAAGCAAATGCGCGCTAAAATAGTGGCACAGAAGCTCTGCTAATCTCCGCGGGCGGGTGCAATGCACACCCACAAGTTTGGGCTCTGCAGCGACGGACAGGGGGGTAACAGCCAGCGACCGAGCGGCGCGCAACCTACCCAGTGGCGCACACACAGGCCTGTGGTGATCTGCAAACACAGGCACCGGGTGCACACGTGAGGCGACCAGCGGCCAGGACAGACCGCTGTACTGGTGGCTGGCTGGCTGGCTGGCGGGGTGCGAGCCGCTAGCGAAGCAAATGCTGACAAAAGCTTCGACCCAAGCTTTAGCGGACCCGTAGACTTATTAGAAAGCGAGGATGAGATATATGTGGTGAATTGATAAACATGTCAGGTCACAGCATGTACATAAGACGACCCGACATTGAGGTACAATATTTGACAACACGAAGGATGGCATTGCATTGGCAACGACAAATGTAAATTTGCCTTCTGTCCACCAACAACCAAATTCAAATGAAAATGCTCAAGATGGATATAATCATCATAAAATATGCAAATGTTTCTTTAAATCCCGTTGCATGTGGGAGTGCCTTTTAGGTTTTTCATGCTCATGCGCAGTGTTAAAGAAGTTGTAAGTTTTAAAGGGTTTAACCGCATCGAACTGAAAGGTGAGCTGGTCGTGGTTGAAGCGTAACGTTAGGGTACTTACCGAGCACCAGCGTCGGCCAACTTTCCATTCTCGCCGACAAGCCCTTGAGGAAGATTTGGTGCAGAAACAGCAGGGTCTCGGAGTTCAGGAAGATCGTATTCACATCTTCGTGGCTGCACGGCGGCATTTTAGAGGAGGCCGCCATTTTGAAAGGTCTCAGGAAGCCAGTCACCAGGATGTTTAGCTGCTCCACATACTCTTCTTCGGCTTCTACCATCCGAAACACGAGGCTGGGAAAATGATATTACACTGCACGCTTAGTATGCAACCGCTTAAGTCGCGCACAGAGAGGGAAATCCTTTTTTAAGACAACACTTGTTCAAGTAAACGTTAATCCTGCAATTTAAGGCAATAAGTGGACTCATTCTCTGCGCCAAGTATGCATGCTAACAGCGACGGCAAAATATTTTATAGTTATGTCACCGGCTAGTTCTTTACCGCTCTTACGCCAAAAACAATAAACCACTTCTTTCTCATTTTTGTTTTCCCCGCCTAACTTAGGTTGGAGAAACAAAAGCTTCTTAGCTTACCTGTTTCGTTTGCGCATGCTTTCTGCGTGTGGTGATTTGATGTATTCTTCAACAATCTGTTTCCACCGCCTTCGACAGAGCCAGCCACGAAAGAAGCTCTGAACCTTCTTTATTTTCCGTATCTCGTCGGAATCTTCACCTTCTTCTGACTGTTGATTCGGTAAAAATCGCCAGTCCTTCTTCAGGGTGCACAGCTGAAGCAAAAAAAGTTCAATTGTCCCTATAGGCTCTCGGTCTCGTTCTCAAATATTTTAAGAGTTTGCGTATAATGCGTACGTTGATAAATGGAAGAAGGATTCCTGTTAGAAAACGTGACACACAAGAAAGTGCGCGACAACTGACCTCGTTCCGAAGTTTCTTTATCTCTGTGGTGAGCTCTTCGCACTGTTGTGTGTACTGCCACTTTGCTGTTTTCTCGCTCTCCACGATCTGCAGAAGGTGCAAGTGTTTGTGTTCCAGCTCCTCCTTTGCCAACATCAGCTTGTTGAAGCTGCAACAGACAAAACACGAATAGATGAACCATGTGATCCCTATTTATAGGTAACATGCGCACACGAGAGTATGTGCTCACTACACTAACTGAGTTAAAGGGACCCTCCCACCTTAACATTAGATTTGAGTTGAGATAGCCAAATTGGTGGCCATGGCCTGAAAATACCGGTTTGGGCACTCACAACATCGAAAAATGCTTTAATTCGGAGATATCGAATTTCAAACTTGCAGTTTTCGGATTCTAAGGGGCTAATGCTTTGGTATGCCCCCTTAGAATTTGTGACGTCAGCGGAGATCTAACGATTTGAAATCTTTTACTAAAACGTTTGGTAGCACGCGGTGGTATATGCTGCTTTGCGCGCAACAAATGCCGCACTTTCAAATAAAGTCGCTAGGAACAGCGGAGATCCCAAAAAGTAAACAAAAGTAAAAGTCTAATATCTTGAAAACCGGTGAATATTTTTCGATGAAATTTGGTAGATATTCGTTTTTGCTCTTTCTGAACCGAGCGACATCACTCTCATGCCAATTCATTAACTTTTTTGAAGGTGGGAGGGTCCCTTTAAGTGAAGAAAAGGAAAGGAAAGATACCGACAAAAAGTCCTAGATAGATATTTGTTTGCAGAATGAGCCGTATAAATGTTCTCATTCCCCTTGATTATCTAAGCAGGGACTTGTGGAGGTTCGTAAGCAGCAAAAAACAAACAAAGAAACCTTGATTATCTATTTGCAGGCCAAAATGAGTTTACAATGTCATACTTGGTTGCATCTTACTGTTCATTGCATTTACAGCATACAACAAGGAATCGGAATAGTTAGCCCTTCTGCCCCCGGCCCTCCTCGCCTGCTGGGAAAGAGAAATAAATTCCCTCCATGCATATTCGAGCCAAATGCTTACCACTCTGTTATGCACTTGACTTTTTGTATCTCAATAAAGTCCCACACATCCGTTTTCAGCAGACAGAACAGTCCCAAATACGCTACCCTGTTTGTCATCCGGCCCATACAGAGCTTTTGACACCGGAGTGTGCGGCACTCGGGCACAACATGGAGAGCAGCTATGCGAAAACACCGCCGCCGGGGAGGCTGCAGCAGCGAACTTGCTGCAACGAGCACGCTGTTTACGACTGCGAGAGAGAATACAGAAGCCCGACGGCGCGGCTGCAACTTGCCGATAGCGCTAGATTGGGAGTTGTTGGCGCACGAATTGCGCTGCAGAAGGTCGACAATATGCAGGTGAACCCTGCGCGGTGCAACCCATGCAAATGTAAAGGTGTTTGTGCTTCCCAGCTATGCTCATCAGCGAAAAGTTCCGGGCTGCCGGGCATATTTAATGGAAAACTTTACATGTTTTTGTTCAAGGGTTGAACTAGATAAGCTAAGCACCAAAGGATTTAGCAGCACCAGAAACAATCAGCAGCATGATATCATCGTCAGGGGTTTTTTCATGTTTTCTTTTCAAATTCGTTTAGTTTTATAAATGATTTATTTTATATATCACGACGCTATCAATGACGAACTAATAAATATACGCCAGCAAATCAAGGGAGCACAAGGATGTTGCATCCACATATTTGCAAAGCTTCAATTTGGAAACAAATTCCTAGAACTCTCCTTTTTGGCTCTCGGCTCTATAGCTTCTAATTTGTCAGTGGTGATGCTTTCCGCTTCAAAGGACTTTATTGGTCATCAATCCTTTATATGATCAATGAAATTCGGTGATGTGCGCTGAGGTTTCCAATAACTTGGTAAAAGATAGAGGATAAGAACTCAGAAGTCAGAAGCCAATAGTTGAAAAGTAGGATAAGCTATAAAAAAGTTGAAAATATATTTCGCGTCAACAACGCTACTCAAAGCCATAAAGGGCCACCGAGCCCCACCAAAAGTTGCCTCTGCTTTTGCGTATAGCTGGGGTTTTTGGTTGGCTTACACTTAATGATTTTATTAAAACCAGAAATGTTAAAAACTGACCCTGACTTTATCATTCGTGTCACTGAGCTCGACACCAAAGATCAGACGCGACAAGGTCGATTTTGGAAAGTTCACTTGCTTCACTGTGTAGTTCCTTCGCCCTTTAGAGTAGAATAAATAGAATAAATTTATTTCATTTATCAGGACAAGTATACAAAACGATGATCACCAATTGGTGCAAGAGCAGTTTGCTTATGTCGAAGCACCTCTCGGCTGTTACATACTAGCCGTTTTCACGGCGGCCATCTGGTACACATTTGGTTCACATCTGGTGCAGATTAGGTGCAGATTTGGTCAAATAAGGTTCAGGGTGTCTCTTAGTAGCTTTCAGCTAGGGTTGCACAAATTGCTTATATGCCTACTTTGTCATATTATCAGAGAGTATCATCGATTAAAACATTGAAATAAATTCATAAAATAAAGATATTTGCTGTAAAAGAGATTAGATGCAGATTTGGTCAAATTAGGTGTACTCGCCGGATAGCCCGTCGCGAAAACGGCTACTATCGCTCGAGTCAGGTCACCTTCCCACTGCACGCACGCACGCCGACCCGGATGAAGGCAATTCCGGATCATTGGATTGTAGACTCGCCTGGCCTGTCGTATGGCGTCCATCCAGGATTTGCAGTCCATCTCAGAGTTGGCCCTCAGGTCGTATTGCCGCTGATTCTCCCGACGATAGGTGATGGAGAAACAGTACTGAAAACACCAGCGTGTGCCGTCAAACCGTCTCGCTTACATGCGATAAATAACAGGAATACTGATGTAACGGTTATACAATGGTATCCATTCAAAAGCGTTGTAATCGTTAGATTCAGCACTTACCTTGGGTTCCGTTTCCTTGGGTTTGGCGGTGGCCGCTATCAGCCTCTCGCAGTAGCAGCCCTCGAGGAGGATGACGCCGGAGGGCCGACTGCTCGACTCACTCTCGTAGTAAAACAAGAGGTTCTGGAGCACAACGCAGGTGGACACTGAGTAAGAGTGACTAGAGCAGGGTTATCGTAAGGCATAGCTGAATAGGTGGACACATTGCGGGGTTTACTCATCCTTAACTCTAATGTCTTGGCTTTCATTTATGAAATGAATGCAACTATTGTTATCGTAGTTATTTTGCTAAAAATGAACTAAAACAGAGCGTCCATAGCCTCCGTCCGCAATAATGTCGAATTAATCATCAGTATCAGTAAAAGCCTATCGGTCATTGGTATACATATAGCGAAGCAATATTCTGCAACTAACAGTTGGTGCAGATGCCATTTTAGCATGCCCAGCCTCGCGCTGCTTCCATATCCTACATGACTATTGGCATTGCATAGCTCAAAGTATGATGGTTCCCTAATCCCTCCCTCTAGCTCCGCGCGGCAGTCACAGTGGTCTGCCTTCTTTTAACGGCACAATAAAATAGCCCGTAGCGATTTATTGCAGTGTTCATTTGAGATTGTGTTTGGAGAATCGACCAGCCCGGCCCGTTAGCCGCATTTGGCAGGCTGGCAGAGCTGTCAGGGTAAACTCGTCCCACAGCTTTCTAAAGAAAAATAGAATAAAATATAATGAAACAAAAAATATGTAACCTACCAAAACATTGGCGTAAACAGATTTCGCTTGATTTTTTAGTTCAATGAGTCAAGGTTCTAGAGGTTACAAAATTAAAAAAAACATTATTTGAACCAGTTATTAACCTCACGGTTCACTGAATCGCTAGCCGGACATTTTGCCTAGACATTTTCATGACGATAAAAAAGAATCACAGCAGACAAATAAAAAAAATTAACAAATAAGGCAGCAAAAGCAATAGGTAACCTCACTGCCCACTGGACAAAACACGAGATGTTCATGCATTCTTTAGTGCAGGCATATATTTGATGTTGCTAAACTCGATGCATTCAGAGATATCAGCTTTAGCGTCAATCCATTAAAAGTTGAATCGACAGCCCACACGGGTCACGTCAGTACATTACTACACTGTGACTTGTGAGCTGTGACCCACCTGATAAAGGTTGAACCAGCGCAGTTGCCACTTTGAGTTGTCGGAGGTGCGTTTGTAGAGCGGCCCGAAGAGGTGTTCACCGTATCGTGCCTTCTCCGCTAGCATTAACAGCTGGCTCTCGTTGATGCGCACGCTGCGCTGCATTTTCGGCGAGAGCATGACGTCACAGCACCCAGCAGTGTGACGTCAGGTGGGGGCCGCGAGGGAGCGACCGACCCCCATCGGCGGCTGGTAAGAACGGCTGGTAAAGGATCCAGCGGGTAGGCGAGCCGTTGTCGGGTGTTGTTGGTTGCGATTGATCCTGCAAGACATAATCATATCGTATTTAAAAAATAATAAAGGTTTACGAAAATGCGATAGAAAAAGAAGTCACGAAGACCTGACAAATCGAGCGATATGCAATATGAACTCCTTTGGACCAATCTCGTGAGCTCAGAAAGCGAGAGAGAGAGAGAGAGAGAGAGAGAGAGAGAGAGAGAGAGAGAGAGAGAGAGAGAGAGAGAGAGAGAGAGAGAGAGAGAGAGAGAGAGAGAGACCGTGACCTGGCTTTGCCCTGATGCCAACACTCGATGTTGACTTTTACCGAACTCAGAACAAAAACATTCGACGCACATATAATCATAGCCAGCACGATGGTGCCCAATTTACGACTTTGCGACATTTTTTGGGCGAAGTTATTCGCTATAAACCGAACATTTATTTCAGTGCACTTGATCTGACCTCAGAGGTCACCGGTTAGCATGAGACCTTTAAAATGGGTACTATAATGGTCGTGGTTTTATCGTGTTAACCCGCGCCCCGTTGGGCTCCGCCGAGCAACGCGCCCGGTTGGGGGGGGGCCATTTTGCCCCCCCCCCCCCCTAAGATCTCGAGAACCACGCAACATAGCGACAAGCGGTAAACGGCGTTGGATAGCCCCAACGGGGAACTACCTTGTGACCCAATTTTATTGACCTAGGTCAAACCGATGACGTCACAGGTCAGGTCAAAGGTCCAATTTTCACCGTTTACAGGCACTTCAAGAAATGCGTTGTAAAATCGAGTAAAATGCATTTCATTGAAAATCATCGATGGGGAAATGTTCTTCAAACACATATTTTGCTATTTGAGGTCACTGATACCAGGTCAGGTCACAGAGGTCAGGTCACGGGGGGGTCACAATATGAAAGTGTCGTGTGATACATGTTTTATTATCCATTTTACATGACAAATGCGATTATATGGGTCAGGCAGCCTTTGGGGCCAGCTTAGATCACGTTTTGGTCAAGGTCAGGTCAAGGTCAGGTCAAGGTCAGGTCAAATTAGGTCAAATTTCAAAGTTAATATTTTGCATAAAATGGGTATCGAATCGATGCAGCCCGTCACGGGGAGTTCAATGGTGGTCTTTGTTTTGCCATACGTGGTCTAGAATTGCTAAAAATTGAGTTCAAAAATTTGACGTCATCATTTTTGAACAGTTTTTTCGCTATAACTTGGCCAAAAAACGAGATATCGATCTGAAATTTGGTATGTATATAGAAGAGCGCTGGGACTATTACATATATTCCGGTTTTTTCGAAATTCGGAAAAATTTTGGATTTTTAAAGTTTTTCTAAAAAAATCAATTTTTTGATTTTTTTTTTGGTCAAAAACCAAAAATTTTGAAAATCCGAGATAGCAGTTTTGTAGCGCCGCTTTTTGTCTACTAAACCATATAAAGAACTTTGAAATTGCTTGATAACTGTAGATTTGGTGAGCGTTTCAAGATTGCATGTTTTTTGCTCATTTTTGCTCGAGCATGACCTCAGTTTGACCTCAATAACTCCTGACCTAAGGTGACCTAAGACTTGAAATTTAGTGTGAAGGTGTCAAATTGATGCCCGGGAAGGTACTGAAAATGTGGCGGCGCTGCGCGCCGCCATTTTCTTGCTATTCAGGAAAAACCACAGGGGGGGGGGGCCAAAATGGCCCCCCAACGGGGCGAGGGTTAAGTACAAAAGAAAGCCCCGATGAAGATGGACGGTCCAATGGGTCCAATTATGCCGAAGGTTTGGGGATTTTCGAGTAAGTACCACTGAGATATAAGCATTGGTTTATCATCCTTTAATAAAATATGATTAGGCATTTGAATAGGTGTATACCTTTAACCCGCGCCCCGTAGGGCTACCGGCGGACCCTACCACCCGTAGGGGGGGCCGTTTCGGCCCCCCCTAAGATCTCGGAAAGTTACCGGCCGATTTTCAAAATTCAAACGGCGTTCGATAGCCCCACCCGGGAACTACCTTGTGACCAAATTTCATTGACCTAGGTCAAACCGATGACGTCACAGGTCAGGTCAAAGGTCAGATTTTCACCGTTCAGAGGCATTTCAAGAAATGTGTTGTGAAATCGAGTTAATTGGTAATTTATTGAAAACCATCGATGGTACATTGTTCGTCAAACACATAGCTGGGGGGATCCATGTGATCGCAAGGCACCTCGCAGTTGCGATCAAACGTAAGTTGAATCGGAACAGATATTGGAGGGATCCATCACATCGTAGGCTAAGTAGATACGCAAGTTGTATCGCAAATGGTGAAGATACGAACTAACTTTACGAATCTTCTCGGTCGATCGGAAGGCCGATCGTAGCGAAGCTTTACCTCTTTCTCAAGAGAAAAATATAAGAAATTTTCAAAATTTTCACAAAACCGAAATATATGTTAAACAAATATGGTTGATGAACACGTGTGCAAAATTTGAAGTCGATTTCTTCAAAAATGGCTGCGCTAGAGCGTTTTAAATTTACACGTTGAAAACGGTCACTTTCACGTCATTTTTGTAATCACTTTTTTCAATTTTGAAATTTAAGAAGTGTTTTGGGCAATTTTTCGCGTTAATTGCGAAAATCTGACCAAAACATGTATCGCACCATCAATGATCCGATACGCCATCAGAGGCCGCGCCGCGGACAGGTGGGCGCGGCGATACCTAGGCCGCGTGGGGGTTACACTGGTGTTCGGGAAGGGCTATGTCAACGCGAGGCAGGCCGCGGGGGAGCCGGTTGCGGCGCCGGTCCGTATTTGTCGGCGCCTAACAGTGCAGCGGTGCGTTTATGGCGGAGGGAGGGGAAGCGGTGTAGTGTCGGCAAGGCCGCACACAGGAGAGGGCACACGGGCCTCCCCCCATTCGAGTTGGGGCCCTGTAGTGTATTGCACTCACACATTCATCACTCGCACTCAAGACTGAACAGTGTACATTCAACTCGACTAATGTGCCCCGCGCCCTTGCCGACGGCTCGCCGGCGGGCACCCGACTCCGTCTCCCGGCCGGCCCGGGCGCGGCGCCGCGGTGCGGCCGTCCCGGTTACCTGACCCGGCCGGCTAAAGGTCGGACTGGCTCCGGCCGCCGCTGCCAGCCGGCGGGGGGCCCGGGGAGGGGTACTACACTACATTCCCTTCCCCCCGAAGCGCTCATCTCCACCAGCGCCTCGTTGCCCGTCCCGCTCGCGTGCGGTACGGGCCCTCCATGTTTCCGGCGTCCTCGACGTCGACGTTAGAGGCATTCCCGGCAGAGTCGTTCCAGACGTCTCCACCTACGTCGACTTCGGCCGCTCCGCCGTCGCCTGTCTCCACTGCGACGGTCCCAGCGCCGCCTCCAGCGCCGTCAGGAAGCTGGTCAGGCCCGACAGCCTCTCTTCTCTCGGCTGTCTCCACGCCGACAGTCTCGGCGCCGCCGCCGGCGTCGTCAGGAAGCAGATCAGGCTCGTCAGCCTGTTCTCGCCCGCCTCCTCCGGGAACGTCAGGCCGGCGGACAGATGCATGGCACAGGGAGAGTCGCTCGGCATGGACTCTGATGCCACCCTCCAGCTCGAACGACACGGGACCACGCTGTGCGGTGACGACACATGGCTTGGAAAACCGAGGTTTTCCCTTGCGCGGCCTTGGCATCAGGCGATAGCGAACGAGATCGCCTACCTTTATGTCGGGCTTCCTTGCCGTTCGGTCATGATACCGCTTCATCTTTCGCTGCTTCTTCCGGACGTGCTGTTGGATGGCGCCGTCACCTCTGCAGTCACTGCTCTGCACCACGGCGTTCTCCAGTGACGTCCGCAGCTGGCGTCCGTGCAGCAGCTCTGACGGGCTGCGCCCCGTCGTGGCGTGCGGCGTCGCCCGGTACACCATCAGGAACTGCTGAACGTGCCGCCGCCTGTCTGCCTTCTGCTGCTCACCTATCTGGATGGCAGACTTCAGACTGCGGTTGAAGCGTTCCACAGCTCCGGAACCTGCTGGATGATACGGGGACACCTTGATGTGTTTGATCCCGTTAGCCTGCAAGAACGATGCAAACCGTGCTGACGTGAAATGGGTTCCATTATCACTCACCAGCTCTTTCGGCCAGCCTTCTCTGGTCGCCACTGACGTCAGGAAGTCAATCACGGCGTCTGTACTTGGCTCTGATACAAACGCCACCTCCGGCCACTTGGAGTAGTAGTCTGTGAGCACTATGCCGTACCTCTGATTTGCCGGACCCTGCATCGGACCAATGAAGTCCACTCCCACCTTGTCCCACGGCGCAGTAGGCAGCGAGACCGGGATGAGAGGCGTCCTGGACGTCTTGGTCGACTTGTCCGCAACAGAGCAGGTGGGACAGTTCTTGACGGCTGTCTCCACCTCGCCGTCCATCCCTGGCCACCAGAAGACTGCGCGCAGACGCTGCTTCGTGCGCACTATCCCGGGATGGCTTTCGTGGGCAACTGTCACCACGCGGGTTCTGAGGGCAGAAGGAACAAGTATCCTCTCACCTCTGAACACCACACCCTTCTCGATGCTCAGCTCGTTCCTGTACCTGAAGTAGGGCTTCAGCACAGGCGGCACCTCCCTCAGTTTCGACGGCCAGCGCTGTGGGATCTGCGAGATCAGCGCCTTGACCTCGTCATCTTCAAGGCCTGCTGCGGCGATATCAGCGCTGCTCACCGCCGGCATCATCTCCTCCAGGGCTGCGACCAGCTGGTCCTCGTCTTCTGCAACCCCATGACTGCCGGGAAGGCGTGAGATGCCATCAGCCTGGTTCAACTTCCCCTCGATGTGCTGAACCTGAAACGCATAGTTCATCAGCTTGACGGCCCAGCGAGACATTCGCATACTGGCCCGACCGATGCCCTTGGCAGACAGCAGAGAGCGAAGGGCAGCGTGGTCCGTCCGCAAAACGAACTCCTTGCCCCACAGGTACTTGTGCCACGTCTGACACGCCCAGACGCATGCCAGGCCCTCTCTGTCAGTTACGCTGTACTTGCGCTGTGCTGCGCTGAGCGTGCTGGAGGCGAATGCCACCACTCTCTCT